AAAAAAAAAAAAAAAAAAAAAAAAAAAAAAAAAAAAAAAAAAAAAAAAAAAAAAAAAAAAAAAAAAAAAAAAAAAAAAAAAAAAAAAAAAAAAAAAAAAAAAAAAAAAAAAAAAAAAAAAAAAAAAAAAAAAAAAAAAAAAAAAAAAAAAAAAAAAAAAAAAAAAAAAAAAAAAAAAAAAAAAAAAAAAAAAAAAAAAAAAAAAAAAAAAAAAAAAAAAAAAAAAAAAAAAAAAAAAAAAAAAAAAAAAAAAAANTCCTTTATGAAGGCATAGAGCCTTTACTACATGAAAATGAAAATTAATGAATACACTGTGTACAGTAATTTACCTGATAAGACAGACCTCAGAAAAATACTTTATGAGAGCTTTTATACTTTTATAAAGCTATCTATAATGAAAATGAATTAACTAAGGATTTTTTTGCCCAGCCAAAGTGTGGCCGAGTTATCCGGAGTGCCGAGTTTTCGAGGTTCTACTGTACTAGAAGTAGGCATTAGGTGCCTTCTCATATTAAATTTAATAATTATAATTAAATTAATACTTAATAAATAATTTAGAATATGCTGAAAGAAAAGAATTAGTCCGGATTGGAACTTGAACTTTTAACTTCCATTTACAGTGTGTATGTATTGCAGTTATGGAACCTGGAACTCTGTCTGATCTTTCTTTCCAGACATATTTAATTTAGATGTAACCATCTTCAGTTACTTAAGGCATTGACTGGGGATGCCTTTAGTGCCAAAATCCTATAATCCATATATACTATCGCTACTTAACTGCTATTAAAAATAATAGCTTTTAAGTAGCCCAATTGAATCTGGCAATTGTTTGGCATAGTAAATATGTTCCTAAGTATTTTCAGACATCATAATTCAGTTTTAAGAGTGAAATAACATTCTAAAAAATCATTTTTCTTTATATTTTTATTTATTTATTATTATGTTTTAAATATTAATTTTAAGTTTTTGTTTCCTTAAACAAGTATTGTTATTTCCCTTGTATTTATATTTTGTGATACTCTAAACTTTAAAGATTTCTGATTTCTAATTTTTTATTTTGTGTAATCACAAGTAAAATATCAAATGAACGTAAATGCACACATTATCCAACAAAAATTATTGGCATTTTAAACTTTTAAGGAAAATCTTGTAAAATTGACAACATAATTTTTTTTATGTAAAGCAGCTAACTTTGAATATACCAACTATTTTCGTTAAATCAAAAACAATGTGTTATGAGCTGTATGTATGATCTCTCTACATAAATTTGATTTAAACCTATTTTATATATTCAATTCTTATTACTCCAGGAAAGAAATCATTTGCAGTTTTTTTTTCTGTATATAGAAAAAAAAATAGCTGTTTATATGGCACTATGTTTTAAAGTTAATTAACATTGATAAACAGAGTTTTATTTTATTAAATTGAATTAAGAATATAAAAATATATAAATTTTTAAAATGTAAAAACAAAAAATTTGTTATTGTTATATGTCAGCTGTTTTTTTAATTAATAATGTAAGAAGTTTATATATAATCTTCCTATGATATATTATTACAGATATTTAAAATCTTATTAAACCGCTTATTGTTTATGTAGACCTATACATACATATATAAAGCAATGAGGTTAACAGGATTTTGAATATCTGTTCATACATATATTTTTAGATTCAAAATATAGACTGATATCAGTATATTCAGATGTGACAATGAAGAAAAATTTGATTGTATCTATTTATGTTTATCAACTGATTTAGTCTTGTATTTTTAGTATAATTTACTTTAGCTTTTTCTCTTCATCCTCTTTTCTGCAATTTTACTTTAACAAGCAGATTTCACTAGCTACCTTCTGATTCTTATCCTATTGGTTTAACTGTTTTTGATCAATTACTTTGTATTCATGATATAGGAAGCTGTTTACTTTATTCATATAAATAATTATAGCCTAATTTTTTTTCTTCTGATTTAAACTTATGCATTAAAGATGATGATGTATACAAAATTATTAAATATGAGAATTTAAATAGTATTTGAATAATTGAATGAAACCATTTGGTTAAAAAATTTACTCAATAGTTCTTATCTTTTTTAATTTGTGAAAGCCAAATGCTTTTAAATTTAAGTAAAGAAAAAAGTGCTATGCCAGTTTAAAAATCAGCTTTAAAAAATCATTATTTTTTTTTTATTTAACTGATAGACTGTCATCTTTTCCTTTTGTTATTTCTATATTTATAACTGAATGGAAAATGTGAAAGACTCAAAAATGTGTTATTAATTAATTCACTTATTAAGGAATCTATTCAAATATTCAATTCAAATTGCTTTCTTGGAATGAAAACTTTTTAGAAATACAATTTTTATTCTGAGAACAGCATTTTTAAATGAATTTTTTAATAAAATGAAACTTAGCTTGTTATTCAAAACAAATCAAATTACTACAAAAAATATTTTCTCAGCTTATGATTTCAAAACTTCAAGAAGATCAGAAATTTTTATTTAAAGTATTTTCAAAATCTCCTTTCATTTTTAGCAATATAAACTACAAAATTATGTGTGTGTTTTCCAGAATTCTAAATTCTGGAGAACAAATATTTTATTACAATAGAAGCATGCTCAGTTTATAATATTTTAGTATATTTTTTAAATTTGTACACAATTTTTTCACTTTAAAACTATTTCATGCAATTTTACAATAAATCGTGAAACCTATTTATAATAATAATGTAACATTAAAACTGCTCTGTATATCTTTCCACACATCTTATTGGTGTGGTCTTATTTATTTTCTCCCAGATTATTGATTTATATATATATATATAATCTCATCCATAAGAAATAATCATTTATATATATATATATATATATAAATGATTATTTCTTATTGATTATTTCTTATGGATGAGATTATATATATATATATATAAATCAATAATCTGGGAGAAAATAAATAAGACCACACCAATAAGATGTGTGGAAAGATATACAGAGCAGTTTTAATGTTACATTATTATTATAAATAGGTTTCACGATTTATTGTAAAATTGCATGAAATAGTTTTAAAGTGAAAAAATTGTGTACAAATTTAAAAAATATACTAAAATATTATAAACTGAGCATGCTTCTATTGTAATAAAATATTTGTTCTCCAGAATTTAGAATTCTGGAAAACACACACATAATTTTGTAGTTTATATTGCTAAAAATGAAAGGAGATTTTGAAAATACTTTAAATAAAAATTTCTGATCTTCTTGAAGTTTTGAAATCATAAGCTGAGAAAATATTTTTTGTAGTAATTTGATTTGTTTTGAATAACAAGCTAAGTTTCATTTTATTAAAAAATTCATTTAAAAATGCTGTTCTCAGAATAAAAATTGTATTTCTAAAAAGTTTTCATTCCAAGAAAGCAATTTGAATTGAATATTTGAATAGATTCCTTAATAAGTGAATTAATTAATAACACATTTTTGAGTCTTTCACATTTTCCATTCAGTTATAAATATAGAAATAACAAAAGGAAAAGATGACAGTCTATCAGTTAAATAAAAAAAAAATAATGATTTTTTAAAGCTGATTTTTAAACTGGCATAGCACTTTTTTCTTTACTTAAATTTAAAAGCATTTGGCTTTCACAAATTAAAAAAGATAAGAACTATTGAGTAAATTTTTTAACCAAATGGTTTCATTCAATTATTCAAATACTATTTAAATTCTCATATTTAATAATTTTGTATACATCATCATCTTTAATGCATAAGTTTAAATCAGAAGAAAAAAAATTAGGCTATAATTATTTATATGAATAAAGTAAACAGCTTCCTATATCATGAATACAAAGTAATTGATCAAAAACAGTTAAACCAATAGGATAAGAATCAGAAGGTAGCTAGTGAAATCTGCTTGTTAAAGTAAAATTGCAGAAAAGAGGATGAAGAGAAAAAGCTAAAGTAAATTATACTAAAAATACAAGACTAAATCAGTTGATAAACATAAATAGATACAATCAAATTTTTCTTCATTGTCACATCTGAATATACTGATATCAGTCTATATTTTGAATCTAAAAATATATGTATGAACAGATATTCAAAATCCTGTTAACCTCATTGCTTTATATATGTATGTATAGGTCTACATAAACAATAAGCGGTTTAATAAGATTTTAAATATCTGTAATAATATATCATAGGAAGATTATATATAAACTTCTTACATTATTAATTAAAAAAACAGCTGACATATAACAATAACAAATTTTTTGTTTTTACATTTTAAAAATTTATATATTTTTATATTCTTAATTCAATTTAATAAAATAAAACTCTGTTTATCAATGTTAATTAACTTTAAAACATAGTGCCATATAAACAGCTATTTTTTTTTCTATATACAGAAAAAAAAACTGCAAATGATTTCTTTCCTGGAGTAATAAGAATTGAATATATAAAATAGGTTTAAATCAAATTTATGTAGAGAGATCATACATACAGCTCATAACACATTGTTTTTGATTTAACGAAAATAGTTGGTATATTCAAAGTTAGCTGCTTTACATAAAAAAAATTATGTTGTCAATTTTACAAGATTTTCCTTAAAAGTTTAAAATGCCAATAATTTTTGTTGGATAATGTGTGCATTTACGTTCATTTGATATTTTACTTGTGATTACACAAAATAAAAAATTAGAAATCAGAAATCTTTAAAGTTTAGAGTATCACAAAATATAAATACAAGGGAAATAACAATACTTGTTTAAGGAAACAAAAACTTAAAATTAATATTTAAAACATAATAATAAATAAATAAAAATATAANAAAATAATCTAATCTGAAGTGCACAGGTAAACTGAAATATAAGGTTTAGTGAGTAGTAATTTCCACAGCAAGATCTAAAAACAGGTTCTAGAAAATTCCCTTTAACATATTCCACATAACATTTTGGCAAGGATTTATTACACTTAATTAAAGCATAAAACGATAAATTATATTAATAAAACTTACCTCTAATTCATTCAATCTTTGAACTCTTGGTGTAAATCTAAAGTTGTCAACATCCACTACAAATGGTGGCTGCCAATCCTAAAAAAAATTTTCAAACATTAAAAGATGATTACAATAAAATATTT